ATGGTTGTTTTGCTTTAACCCAGTGTTTATGAAGATGTCTAATGACTTTTAGAGCTTTTTGATGTTAAATGCAAAAGAAGAAAAAACACACAATTCTAATCCCAGAGAAGGGAACCAGCTTCTTTATGTCTATTATATTCCACTAAAGACACAATGTTTGCTTTATGTCAAGAGAAGTCTCAGCTTCTTTAATGCCTTGTGTAAGTGCAAATATTGGTTAGCACTGAAATGGGACACAGGTCTAATGTCATGTCTTCAATATTGTTCATAGTATAAAGAAAGTGGCAGTCACTTTGAATAAGAACTGCATGGTTTGTTCAAGTAACTCTGCTCTATGTACATTCAAAATTGGCTTCTGACAACAGGATTTCAAAAGTAAAGTGCAACATGCTTGTACATGCAAGGAATAATATAAACGTGCTGTAGAAGCCTGGTTGTCCACTATTCACTAGTCATAGCTGCCCGTGACTAGCAGTCTGACAGCAAAAACTTCCTTATCACTAAAACAAAAACACCCACCCACACCCAAAACCACAAGCTGAACATTTCTACCCATAAACTTACCAGGATTTTGTGTGGAAGTTACATTTCTCACATTTCATGTCCCCTCTTTTGATGGTTGAATTGACTAGCAAAAGAAAAAAAAAAAAAATCCCTGGATGCATCAAATTTTTGCTATGCCAGTGCAATGGATCATTCTGCCCTCTGGTTACAGCACATCATGAGAATGCAATCCAGAGGGTGACCCAGCCAAGAGGGGATAACAGGGACATGAACTACCTGAATTACCACTCTTATGGAGCACTGAATCTAAATTCTCAAAAAGGAACAACTGGCGTTTCTCAGGAGTTCATTCCTTGTAAAGGAATTCCACATTTGCAGCATGTTTTCTTGGGAGATTTATTCTTTTGAAAATCCTATTTTACACCTGAAACAGGAGAGACAAAAATGTTTTTTCTACTCCAATACCTATGTTCTTTAGTAGATCATTTGGAGGAAACTCACCATGGTTTCTCTTTAATAAAGTCCAACATGCTTATACAGAATATAGATGGACAAGAGACACAAGAATATTGGATGGAAATTGGATATACTTTACCTTTTTCTCATGCTCTGAAATTTCCCAGCCACTGCATTTTGCTCCTCCACCACATGCACCACCTTCAGAGAGTAAGCACCCAGCCATTTCCAGAGGTTGCTTAGGAACTTTCTAATTTATCATCAGACACGTCAAAGGTATTTTAAGACACAGCTGAGTGTATCAGAATATGCAACAATGACAAAGCCAGGCTGCCTGGCATGTTTTCTTCATGCCGTATGAAAACCTACATAGGAAAAATTCCAGCAGTGCTGCCTCAGTAAAGGAACTTTATCAACAAACACCCCTCCAGTGACTGAGATAACCAGAGGACCAGACAATATCATCCAGTGAATACTGGAGCCCTTCATTTAGGGTCACCCAGTCCAAAACTCACTGCTCAGAGAGCCAAGCTCTCTCACAATGTCTTCTTTAATGAGCTTTATGGGGTTGTTTCTTCCTCCTGTAGCATTCCAGTTCCTCTGGCACTTTTACAAATGCTACAGAATCTCCACTGGGACTTACAGTGCTTCAGACAATATAAAGCCTATGGAAGAATCTCCCCCAGTTGCTCATTCAGATTTCAGCAATGAGACAAATAATGTAGAGACTACTCCAGCACTGTCTTTCCTGATGTACACAAGAGACTTGAGTACATGTCCCAAGGCTTTTTATTTTGCCTCCTTGCACCTCTCTGAGTTGGTTATAGGGCCAAGCTACAGCGTCCCTCAAATAAAATCCAGAAAATAAACTTTTAGAATGCACCAGCATCTCTGTAACATAACACATTCCTTTGCATGGAAAAGGAAAGAGTGATGGAAGGGAATAAAAAAGGAGCAAGACTGGAATGCCGAATGGTTTCCCACAGTATTCCTTAATGCCAAGGGAGGAAAGCATTAAATAACTGTTGCAGGCGTGTTTCCCTTTGTTAACACACCCGACATCTGTGATTCTGCTGCTTGCTGCCATGTGGAATCCCTTCCAGTTGTCCCAGCAGCTCAGAGTCCTGACAGAGGGGGTGATGGAGAAAATAGCAAAGGAAGAGCAGCTGTGAGTTTTCAAGCATAGTTTCCATTTGTTCTGGACATCCACAGCAAAAGCACCTTGATTTTTTGGCAGTAGCCAGCCTGAACATGTTTTCTTCAATTTGTTCCATGATGTGAGATGACTTGTTAGTGGAAGGCATCGCATCCACACACACCAGGCTGCCTGAGGTTGTCTAATCACCCTTGGTATCCATCAAGCAAAGTGAACAAAATCATTCAGTCTTTGTCCAAGAATCTTTTTCAATTGGACTCAAGATTTACTTGATCACACACTGAAAGCATATATTTGAGCCTGAGAAGTGGATGTGTGTGATGATGAGCTCTCATCAAGAGCTGTTAATGAAACAAAGGAAATGACCTGGATCAGAGCAAGGATCTGTTTCACCCTGTGTCTAGCCGAAATGGCCAACACAGAGGATGCTGGAATCCTGTCAACAGGACGTCAACACAAGTCAGCCAGCAGTGTCTGTATGGGTCAGTCTGTAACAGAATATTCTGCTCACCTGAGGTGTTTCTTTTTGATTTTTCACTTTGACATGCATCCCATTGCATTGGACTTACTACTTTTGTTTCAAATAGGCTGGCTTACCCTTGCTGAGAGAGCTTTTTTATATTTGTCTGTCTGATTTGTCCTGCTGATTTTTTTTATTTCACAACATTCACTTTTTTCATTTTTAAAGAGAATCTCCTCTTTGAACCCACAACTATCCTGGCACCTCATGCTATCATCAGCTGCTGCACTGGTCTTTGCTTCATGCTGCTCAGTGCCATCTGAGTCCTTCTTTTGCCCACAGAATGAATTCCACAGAGAATCAAAGTTGGCCAGGACAGATTTCTTTTGAACCTCAGATGGAACAGAAGGAACAGCATTTTAGTGTGTCTCTAATTACAGCCACCATGACAGTTCATATGTGCAGTAATAAAAATAACCATAAACCTACCTAATCATTAAAGTAAAGCAAATAACTCCTCTCTGTATCATCATACACAGGTACTGGAGTTGCTAATAAACCAGGAAGAGCACTGAGGCACTGGAGTAGCATCTTTTCTATCTCCACAGTTTCTTAAACAACTTTAGAGGCATATTTTTATTAAGTATATGAAAGGCAGATGATCTTAAACCTCAAAAAGAGTCTGTATAATAATTGTGTGCTCCTCTAATGCTCTCCAAAGACCTATTCAGAGTCCATTCTGAAAGACAATAATATATCAAGAACTTCTGCAAACTTCCTCCTAATGAACACATGCCAATTTGAGACCAAGAATTCTGGCCTCGGAGGACAAAATAACCACTGCACTTAGTCTCTGGGTGTTTTGCTACTTTATTTCAGAGTGATTCAAAATCTAATTAAATTTCTAAACTCTAATGAAATTACAGAAGAAAAATCATTTAGGATTATATTATATACAATTACTCACAGCTGAAAATTACAGTTAGCCTCTTTCACCAAGACAGGGTCTCCTGAGAAATCCTTGTTATTCATATAACGTATAAATCTGACATTACTCCCACTATTTACAGGTCGAAGGTAAAAGCAGAATTAATTAAACATATATATCCTGCCCAGTGGCTGGATGGTGAAGGATAGAGTGAAGGCTGATAATGATACTTGAAACCACACTTCCCAGTTTGGTCAAGAATCAGAATAAACCTATTACAAGGCAGGATTATGTTGAGTCTGTCTTATTCTGGTCAGTGCTTTTCCTCGCTGGAGGTATGCTGTGAGCAAGAGCAGTCAGCTGTGTGCAGCCACCTAGCCAAGCTCTTTGAAGCATTCATGGAAAAAGAAGCAATGGAATAAAACAAATAGCTTTAGAGATCTCATCCAAATATTCAGATGTTTAGTTCCTTATCTCAAACACCATAACTACTTGAGACTGCTGATTTGGGCCAGCAGAAGCAACAAAAACCAACAAAAGCAAAATAAAACAAAACTACCCCCAAATAAAAAAACAAAAAAAACAACCACCAAACCCCAAAACAAAACAAGAGAGCTGACATTCCTGTTATTACTTCTAGAAGAGGTTTTCAGGAACCTTGAAGCATGGGATCATTTGCAGATGAAACATGAGGTACACAACCACTGGAGGCTTTCACAAGGATCCTGCTCTTTCCCATCTAGCTGGTGCAGAGACTTTTGTTTGCTTGGTTTTGGTGTTTCCAGCTCTGATGCCATAGAGAACCAGGAGCAGAGAAAGAGCAAAAATAAACTACAAACGCACACACACACACACGTGGGCACACCAACACTACAGGTCAAAGCAGTGACAAATACTTTCTATGACATCTGCCATACTCAGTCTGTTGTACCAATGCTTCACACAGCAAAATAGGCCAGAGGCATCAAGACATTTTTCTTAGGTAGAAGTCACTGCCTGGGAACTAGCTTGCAATGGTTTAACAGCCATAGTGAGATGCTTTTCTACTCCTGAAAAAGCTGATTATGAAAGGGAAATATTCAGAAAAGTGCTCTGCTGAAAACACTATGATAGCATTCAAGTTGAGTTCATAAGAAAGCTAGCAATGCTGAAAGAGAATGCCTTAGAAAGTTCTTCTAAGACAGAAAATCCACTTGCTTATCCACGGATTTAGAAGATTTCAGCAGAAACAAATTCACTGTGGTAGGATGTTTTCATTATGCAAAAATGACTGGTAGTGTTTAAAGGTTCCTTAGAGAGCAAGACAGCTGAACCAGGCTGTGACTGTTGGCTGTCCACCTTCTCCACATAACATTCTCAAGTTTGTTTATATATTGAACTTAAACCCAAAAAAGGGAACTTCTGCTTGCAAATGTAACTACTCAGGATGTGACTGTAGTTTCACAATAATCACGTGACCTGTTTTAGCTTTTTTTTTTCAGACCGCAGAAAAGCAAAATTCATGAAAACTTGGGTGAAACCACTCTGTTGTCACAACTTCATAATGACCTTACTAACAAGCTGGATACCAGCCCCAACAGCAATTCTTCTCTTATGTAAGTGCTCTAACTTATTTGTTTTCCATTCTTTTTGAGAGCTTTAATTCCTGAGCTTGATGGGCTTATTTATTCCCCAGCTTAATTGCATTTGTCTTGCTTAAAACTTTGTTTTTTGGAGAAAAAACATTTGTTGAGCCAGAAGGGTATTTTGCTGAGTTTTCTAGCTCACATTTCCTATTCTGGGTGCAAAGGGCTCCGCTGTGCACAATCCAGAAGACACTGTGAAGTTAAATGCCTGCAGCTTTGCAGAGGGGATGTGCACCTGCTGAGCACCTTGTTTAGCACTTTGTTTCCTTCTCCCTGTACAGAAACAGTACTTCATTAGAATTTAAGGGAAAACTGACCTGCAAGCTGCTTTTGGACTTTGTGACTCTCCCTTGCTGGACTTTCTCAGTCCTGACTCACGCTGCTTCTAATGCTCCCTGCTGGCCCAAAGCAGGGTTTTCTCACAGTGACCTGTTTCTTACTTCATTCTTACTCATCTCCGCTTAGTGCAGGGAAGAAGTGGGGGCTCCTGGCTAGGAAGCCTCAGCAGGGCTCACATGAACACTGGGACAGTGTGGGCTACCGGGGAGGGGGGAGCTGGCAGCGGTTCCATGGGCCACTGCCGTCCCTGGACACTTGGTAAGGGGGCAGGCACCACCCTCTGCTGGCAAAAGCCTCAGCTTTTACCTAATGAGCTCCTCCTCCCAATACTACCCTGCTTCATGCAGACATTCACAGAAAATCTCCATCCACACTTGGGGAATCCCACAGGGGCAGTTTGCCCACCTGAGACAGGCAGACCAGTTATCCCAGCTTGTATCCACTGGATATCCACTTCTGCCTCGCTTTCTGCAAAGCTGCCCACAGATCCGCAGCAGTGCTCTACCCTGACTCTGGGCTTCCCAGATATTTGCTTCCTTTCCTATTTGCTGCCTCAGTTATAAACGGCACTGAGCTCCTGGCTGCTGCAATGCCACAGGACCAGCCATTATCTGTTGCAATGAGGAAAAATATGAGTTTTTGGAGGAAGGGAAAAAAAAAGGGCATGGAAGCAGGAGGTAACAAGCAAAGAGATTAACACAAGTGCTGCGTACTTAGAAAAACGAGGCGCACATTGCTGTTTATCACTGCAGGTTATGGCTGGAATGGTTTATAATACCTAATCCGGTGGGGAAATCGAGCTCTTCCTGCTCCCTGATTTTATGCCCAAATTGCATTCTGCACCATTTTCCTGGCTGAGCGGACCTCTGGACCAGGGCTGTGTGAGCCGGGCTGTGTCGCAGAGGACACAGGCACAAGTGTGACACAGAAACGCTGTCTGCTTGGCTCAGCAGCCCTGGGGAGGGCTCAGTCTGCCCAGAGCTCACCGAGATCACAGAGCGGAGCTCCCAGCCCTGTGTGTTTATCTGCGAGCCCATCGCTCGCTCAGCAGCTCTGCCCCGCCGTGGGGAGCCGCAGCGGCACAGGACTGTGTTTGCAGTGCTGTGTTTGCAGTGCTGTGTTTGCAGTGCTGTGTTTGCAGTGCTGTGTTTGCAGTGCCGTGTTTGGAGGGACAGAGGACTGTGTTTGCAGTGCCGTGTTTGCAGTGCCGTGTTTGCAGTGCTGTGTTTGCAGTGCTGTGTGTTTGCAGTGCTGTGTGTTTGCAGTGCTGTGTTTGCAGTGCTGTGTGTGTGGGGTCAGAGGAC